AGGGGGCGGGGCTGGCTGGCATGTGGTGCTGGGGGATTGAACCGCGGTCCCTGTGCTTTGCTAAGCTTGTTCTAAGTAGGTGCTTTAGACCACCGAGCCATCTCACCAGCCCCTCAGCCATTTATTTCTAGGGTCTGGCTTTAGCTCTGAGAGGCCACTGATGGTTAGTATAGCCCCAGGTACTACACTTGTGTCCTGTGAAGAAGAATGGAGGAAGAGGGGACTAAAGGCACAGTGTCCATCCATGCTTAACACACCCTTCAAAGAAGCTCAGGTATAATTGGCTGCAGCTCAGGTATGTTCTAGTTCAGGTATGATTGGCTGGAAATTAGTCTCAGTGTTCCCCTGGCCCATGTAGCACGTAGCTGCAAAGGAGGCTGGGAGTAGTCTTTTAGCTAAGCGCACTGCTGCCTCCCATAGATTCAGAGACTGCTTTTTTGTGTGTGTCTTTTGAGATAGGGTTTTGCTATACATTTCAGGCTAGTCTTGAACTCACTTTGTAGCTCAGGTTATAAGCAGGTTGGCCTCAAACTCCCAGCAATCCTCCTGCCTCAGCCTACCCAGGGCTGTATTACAGCATACACTAGTATGGCGGGCCCCTTGCTGCTCACTGCAGGTGTGAATGGACAACGCACAAGCAGCCAACAGTTGCTACCACTTTGAGCAGTTTCTGTCCATGGATTTCTTATGTGGGAATAATTATTGCTCATTTGGGGTGGCAGATAGTTTCATATGGACTGTTAGCTGTATTTGGTTGACTGACTTCTTTCATCATTCTGTTGAATTCTTTTTTATTTTTTATTTTTTATTTTATTTATTTATTTATTTTATTTTTTTGTTTTTTCATTCTGTTGAATTCTGAGCCCCTCTTCCTTCTCGCAACTCCCCCTGCCCCCATGCTGGAAATTAAATCCAGAACTCCACGCATGTGAGACACATGTCCTGTAACCCTGAGCTCTGTGTACCCTTAACCCTAGGTTTTGACCTCAACATGATGAGGGAGTAGAAGTATTTATTTGGGGAAAGGGGAATAATACCCTGCTTCAGTTTAGATACTATCTCTGTACTTTCTTATGTGTAGCTACTTCAATGTTAGTAAGCTTTTCTTTCTTTCTTTTTTTTTTTTTTTTTTAGTAAGCTTTTCATTGAAGAATTCAATTCTGCTAATTTTGTCTCGTGCTAGGGGTGGAACCCCGGGCCTCAAGCATACTCGGCAAGTGCTCTACCACTGAACAATACCTCCACTCTCTTCTGCTAACTTTTGTGTCTTTCTGAAGATACGCTATATGCATTTCAAATGTGAAAACTTTGCTAATTAAACAGAGTTTTTTCTTTGTGCAGAACATTCTTGGCACTGGAAATATTGATGTAGAAAAACACTAAGCTCTTTTTATGTTTTGTCAGGATGTCTAAATTGTACCATGATAAGGAAGTCTACATGATCACTTAGTGGCTTTAGTCAGCAAAGGTTTATCTCTTGCTCATGTCATTGCTCCTCATAGATGGGATTAGGAACTCTGCAGTCACACTTAAACGCCAGCGAGGCACCTCTGTCCTTACACGTTGCTAAAACAGGACTGTTGTGTGCTCTGGCTGTTAGAAACACTACTCAGAAGGGTACATGCCAGTTCTGTGTTGAGAAAGCAGTGCCTAATTTCAAGGGTGAGGAGGGAAAGTTCAGTCTTGTTTCTGGAGAGGTAACCGGAAATATTTGGTGAAGTACACCTAGTAAGCATCAGGGAGGAGTGTAATGGCATTGGTCATGTGACTGTGGTAATATATTAATAAATAAGAGGATGTATTTAATGTACTGTTAAAGTATAAAGAAATTTCTATAGGTACACATAATATAGGAAGCACATGGCTTTGACTGTTGATTCTTTCCCTGCTGTGTTCTTCTCTGTCCTGCATAGGAAAAGAGGTGGGAAGGAGTCAGCTACTGAAATTGCTGTGTGAGATTTTTAGGTAACTTAGACTCTCCCCCCCTTATTTTTTCCAGAGTCCATTCATGAAGCATCGTTTTATTCCTAGTTAGTTTACTTTGTTTTCTGTTATTCATCTAAAGAAGATGTTAGGCACAATCAGGTTGCTGTCCATTACTTACTAGAGAGAACAAATTAGACAAGATTTCTCCTCTTAGTTCCTCACAATTCAGGGCAGTTACAGTGTACAATAGGAGATTGCACAGACTGCTGCAGAAGCCTGGAGGAGTCTTACAGAGGGAAAGCCCCACTGGAGAGAGCCAGGTTATGGGTTGGGGTGAGAGATTGGTACTTGGCTAGGGTGTGGTAGGCCCCTCTAGTGCTTACCCAAATTTCTGTAACAGTGAATAATTATATGCAGCAGAATAGCTTCCAGTTTTACAGATAAAGGAGCTATTTCAAGAAAATCACAGTTATTAAAACAGATCGACTCAGGATTTGAATCCAGGTGTTTCTGGCTTTGATTGTAGCTTTTTAAGAAACTTAAGTCCTACATGGGAGGAAGTGAGGAAGGGAATGATATACTTAGGACTTGTGCATTTTTTAAAAAACGTATTTGTTTATTTGCTACAAGATAGCTTCAGGGCCAGCATGGCATATGGTACTAGGGATCGAACTCAGGTCCTTGGGCTTGCCAGGCAGGCGCTTAGACAGCTGAGCTGTCTCCCCAGCCCGACCTGTGCATTTTTAACTGTAGGCAATAAGGTGCCACTGAGGATGTTACACAGAGGACTGACACATCTATGTGAGTAAAATAACCTTGGCAACAAGAGTGAAACTGAAACTTAATTCTACTCATGTGATAGGTATCCATGTGAGGAGGTAACTTTGGATCCTTAATTTTTGTCAGCAGTAATTTTGAACCTAATTAGGATTGAACCCTGGTCCCTTTGCCTGCCTAAGCAGCTGAGCTATCTGGTTGGCCCTAGTAATTACAATTTCAATGTAATTTTCAGTGTATAAAGCCTTATATTTCTTTGTTACATTTATTCCCAAGTACTTAGTTCTTTTGATGTTGTACCTGGAATTTTTGTGTGTGTTTTTGAGACAGGGTCTCAATGACTTCGCTTCTTTGTGCTTCAGGGGCTGCATCTGCTAAGTAGAATAATGGTATACCTCAAACTCACAGCGATCCTCCTGCCTTGGCCTCCCAAGCCCTGTGATTACAGATGTGTGCCTCTGTACTCAGTGGAACTGCTTCATAATTTATAAATCACTCGTAGTATGTATAAATAAAAATTGATGTTTGTTGGTCATGTAGTTATCGTTTTTTTTTTTGGTGTTTAGTACAGTCTACAGGGTCTCACTACATAGATCAGACTCATAGTGATTCTCCTGTTTTTAATCTCCCAAGCACTGGGATTACAGGTGTGTGTCACCATGCCCAGTTTCAATCCCTTTCAGCGAGCCCTGGGGGTGGGTCTGGCACCTCATGCCAGGGATTGAACCCCTATGGCTGCACTCTGCCTAAGCAGGTGCTTTGGTGCACTGAGCTGAGATTGTCTTCTTAAGTTCACTTGCTAGTGTTGTTGTAGATTCTTCAGGAGTTTTGCAAACAGGATCATGTCATCAGCAGATACTTTTTCCCCCCTTAAATGGCAGGAATTGAGTCTAGAATTGTTCTGCCACTGACCTACACTTAAAATCCCTTTTTTCATTTCTTTTTGAGACAAGAGCTTTTGAAGTTGCCCAGTCTGACGTGTGTGGAACTGGTGATTCTCCTGCAACAGTCTGAGAGGCTGAGGTTGCTAGCACTTGTCACCACACCTGGCTAATGCATAGCTTAAAAATTTTACATCAGGTTTTAGCCTGGGACAAATAAATGCTGTTAAGGTTCTTTCAAGTTTTGTGATACTTGAATTTCCTGGTCTGTGTATTTGTGATTGGCTCCCTATCAGTGATGAATTAGATGACAGAATCACCTAATTTTCTTTTTGGACTAAATTTAAGGGTTCACTGGCTAATAGAAGTAGGAAATGTGTGCCCAAGCAGCTCCTTTTTTTTTTTTTTTTTTTTTTTGCGGAACCGGGGATTGAACTCAGGCCTTTGTGCTTGCCAGTGAAGCGCTTATTCCACTGAGCCATCTCCCCGGCCCTGCAGCTCCCTTTTATTGGAAAAAACTTTACAGGTTTCCAACAGAGAGCTGTATGATCTTGGGGAAATGACTTAGCTTCTTCGTGCTTCAGGGCTGCATCTGCTAAGTAGAATAATAGTACACCTGTTTCTTAGGGTTGTTGGAATTATGTGAAAGTGTGGAAAACCTTTAGAATGGTGTGATATAGAGCAAAGATTTGATCTGTTTGTTAATTTTATTAGTATTAAATAGGCAGAATAGAACAGGAGGATTATACAAAGTGCCTAATCGTAGTGTGTGTTTGATTACATAGTAATGTTTTAAAGTTTTTATTTTCTACCTCAGCCTCCTGATTGCTGGGATTACATATTTTTATTTTTTGGGTGGAACCAGGGATTGAACTCAGGTCCTTGCGCTTGCCAGGGAAGCGCTTATTCCACTGAACCATCTCCCTGGCCCATGCTGGGATTACAGATGTGTATCACTACACCCCAACTAAAATGTGTGTCTTAATTTTTTGAGGTTATATATTCCTCTCTGCTCGCGGTTAAAAGGGCCGTCTGCGGAGGGCAGGCGGCCCCAGGTACGTGTGAGTGTGTTCTCTGGTGCTGCAGCTTGACCCCTGGCGCGACACACAGGTGCGACGCCCGGGATCCAAAGGCAGCATGTTGGTGTATCCTCTCTTTGCATGGAAAGAGACTGCACAAATTTTGGCTCAGCGGATTAAAGTGCCAGGGGTTGATCTCCAGGCCTGCCATGCCAGCCACACCCCCAGGGCGCTCTGAGAGGCAGTTGAAACTGAGGGTGGTAATGCATGCCTGTAATGCCAGCTCATGGGAGGCCGTAAACAGGTGGATCACTGTGAGTCGGGTTTAGCAATGAGACCCTGAACACTCTGTAGACCCTTACCTAAAAATACAAAAAAAAA